ATCCTCTTTATGAGGATCTCTACAATAAAAAAGACTTCTCTTGTTCCGCCTCTGGGACTAAGAGTCAAACCTTTCATTTCTGCTGCTGGTATTGAGCTAGACAATATATCTTCTTCCCGTCTGTTTTCTTCTCCTCCTTGGCAGTTAGTTAGACCAGAAGTTGACCTAACACTAACAACATTTAAAAAATCGGAAACAAACGAATTACAATATAATCAAGAATATAATCAATTAAAAACTAAATATAATACCTACAAATCCTTATTTACAGATGGGTCCAAGGATGGTGGCGCGGTTGCTTGTGCCACTGTCATTGGATCCAGAACAATATCTTCTCGATTACCAAATAACAGTTCTATTTTCACAGCGGAAGCTCACGCTATATTAACAGCTCTTAGATATATCAATAACCACCGTAAATATAAACAATACATCATCTTTTCTGATTCTCTTTCGTGTCTTCAGGCTATTAAAAATCTTTCTTGTAAACATCCACTTTTATTAGAAATTATTGAATTGTACAATGAGCTTGCTACTGGCCAATGCGACATCGTCTTTTGTTGGTTACCCAGCCACGTTGGCATTTCTGGGAATACTATGGCTGATCTTGCTGCTAAGGCAGCACTCAACAAATCTGTGACACCACTTCTTATTCCCTACTCTGATTACAAAGCTAGCATTAGAACTTACATCCGTGATCTGATGCAGAAGAAGTGGGACACCCAAGTAGGTATTAACAAATTACATGAAATAAAACCTTATATTGGTTACACTCATTTGGGTTGTCAGTCCAGATTTGAGGAGGTCATTATGCGACGATGTCGCATTGGCCATACAAGGTATACTCACAAATACTTGTTGAAAGGTGAAGATCCTCCGTTTTGTATCCCTTGTGATGAGAGAGTCACAGTCAAGCATATCCTGCATGACTGTGTCGAATTCTCCATCATAAGGGATACCTATTTCAGTGTTAAAACTGTTAAGGATCTTTTTAACACTGTTCATGTTCATTTAATTCTTGGTTTTTTAAAAGAAATTGATTTGATTTATGAATTTTGATTAATATGTTCTGTAGATAGATGTATTTTAAAGCTACGTAGTTTAGATTAGCAACTTAGATTGTCAGTGGCTGTACCCTCAAAGGGGGTTAAAGTATTGTAAAATTATTGTCCTCCGGAGAGGGTACGTAAGTCCCAATACATTCGAAGTGGATTTAAACCTACTACCATTTTAATCGTAGAATGTCTGTTCGTTTAATTTGTGGCTAGATTTTCTAAAATTGCTAATAGCTGAAGGGATGGTGTAAATCCAGCTAGGGTCCATGCAGGAAGCAAATGTACTGTAAGTCCCCATGGTCTCTAGTATGGTGATCTACCTTCAGCTGTTGGCGATATATAGCCTATTTTTATATTGTGTTGTCACCTATAGTTCAAATATTTTAGATTTAATTACTAGTTTTACATGTCTAACTGTGATATTCTAGTTGTTTTACTGTCCTTCGTCGGCAGGTTTTTATGATATAGATATATTTCGTTTCAATATCAAATGTTCTCGTCACGATATGGCTGAAATATTGCCGATGTGACGTTAAATCTTAACTCACTCACTCACTATTCCATACTCTGATGACAAAGCTATCATCAGCTTTTTTATCCGTGATTTGATGCAGAAGAAGTGGGACACTCAAGTAGGAATTAATATACTACATGCAATAAAACCTTATATTGCTTACACCTACTTGGGTTGTCATTCCAGATTTGAAGACGTCATAATGCGACAATGTTGTATTGGCCAAACTAGATATACTCATGAATACCTGTTAAAAGGTGAAGATCCTCCGTTTTGCATCCCTTGTGATGAGAGAATCATGGTCAAGCATGTCCTGCTTGACTGTATAGATTTTTCCATCACAAGGGATAAATATTTCAATGTCAAAACAGTGAAGGATCTTTTTAATGTGAACTATCATTAAATTATTGAATTTTTAAAAGAAATTGGATTATTAGACAAATTTTGATGAATGGTTTGTAAATAGATACATTTTTTAGTATTGGTAGTATAATTGAGCAGCTGAGATGTGAGTGGCTGTGTCCTCACAGGGGGTTGAAGTATTGTAAAATTGTTGTCCTCCAGTGGGGGTACGTAAGTCCCAAAACTTTCAAGGTAAATTAAGCTTACTGAATATTTTAGAACGTAGCATTTTTGTCATTTTAAGCTATGGCTAAATATACCTGGAATCACCAGCTGCTGAATGGATGATGTAAATCCAGCTAGGGTCTAAGCAGGTAGCAAAAGTACTGTAAGTCCCCATGGTCCCTAGGTTGGTGATCTACCTACAGTTGCTGGCAACCTATATCCTGTTTATATATTTTATTGTCTGTACCATTTGTCTAATTTAAGTTCATTACTTCTTAGTTTCAATTCTCTGACTGTGATAATCTAGTTTTTTTTACTGTCCATCGTCGATGGGGTTTTATAATTCAATTGCAATTATTGTTAATTTATAACTTTTTAACTCACTCACTCCAAAGACGGATTAGCATTTGCCGGGCGTGAATCATGGATTGGGCATTCTGTACATTGCAGGAGACCTCTCCGTGAAAGAAGCCAGCTATTATTATCTGAGGAGAGGCATATTTCGATTGGTCATTACTCTTTCCACTAATGACTGGATAGATAAACATATGAACTTTACGAGTGGCGTTGATTTTATAATCAAAAAGGTTGAGCGAACCCGCTCTGAAGACGATTGGAAAAAGTGATATTGGATACATCAAAAGGGTTTTCTTGTCAAGGTATCATAAGATTGAACGATTCGATTCAAACGTACGTGTGGGATATTCTCGGCGTGCAGGTGCAAATGCGGTACAGTATTATATGTCGGGGGACGGCTTTCGACGAGCAGAAACAATTCGTGGCGAACGTCAAAGATGCCATTGCCAGCCCTGTTGATCTCCCGACATGCATCAAGCGCTATCAAAATACATTGGAAAATGCCAGTTCGAAAGTCTACTACGTTTTCAGAACAGGGTTGTACATGACCCCTGAGCAGCATGAAACTGAGGGTGAATAAAGTGCTGGGGTAGAATAAAGACATAACAAGAGGTATGAATCCCGATATTAACGTCAATCAAGTCACACCACCCATGAGTACTGGTGAAATGGGAACAGTGAAACCACAACCGGAGCCAACCGTTCAAATTTCACCTACACCACACCTATCGGCAAGCGCTTTTGTCCAAAATCAGTGACACATCGATCAGAAAACAACGCTTGAGGTCGTTGGGATCACAGTAGGGTTGTGCCTTATTTGATTAAAAAATCTTTAGCGGCGACGTACAACAGACGGCCACGGTGACGATGAGCGCCCACAAGTTTTGACAGCCAAGTGACTGTTTTCGATTAGAATCCTGACAACCAGTAAACGATGCTACCGAGGATACCTGGGAGGGCTTCCGCAGCTATCCCCGCCAGTCTCGTGAGGATTTGACCTAAGGATTTGAAATTTTGTTTGCAGTGTTAGGCTAGCTGTTGGGCTCGGAATGGCACCACCACTGGTCAGAGAGATGACAAAAGTCGATATAATGAACCCGACTGCTGCGGTCAAAATTCTAGTAATGATGATCCCCTGTTCTCTAAACAATGTTTTAAGCCTTTTGGCTAAAGTGGTGTCTTTGGTGAGGACTCAATGAATGGTTTTGCGAATGCGACTGAGTTGGGATCGAAGGGCCTCTCAGATGCTGGAAGCCGCTTCTAATCAGGCCGATCTTTCGGCTTCCAGGTTGCATAATCTTTTGCTGAACTTGTCCCCTGCTTCATTGAGTTTGTTTCTGCATGAGCTATATGCTCGTAGAGTGCGTCCAGTTTCGCTAGGTATGGTCTTTTTGTTCTGCGTATGTTTTTTGCATGGCCTTGTCTAGGTAAATTGAAACTGGGATGTTTCTAAGGGAGTATCATTGAGTGTGTCCAATATGTCGTCGAGTAGTTCGACACTTCTAGAGCGCATTGCGGTACATCTCTCAAATTGTCTTGATCGAGCGCATTGGTCGTGGCACGGTTTGTAAAGTTTTCGTGGCCTTCGCTGAAAGGTTTGATTGGGTACTACTATAATCTTCTAGTTTTAATTGATAGCGGAGTGGACGCCATGGCCACTGGCCAGTATAGACAAGGCGAGGGGTTTTCTCGTACGGATATTCATGAGATCGATACCTGGAGCGGCTGTCAATCGCAGTGTCCATCCAATATCGATTTTAAACTAAGAAATGTCGCGATACATAGTATTTTCATCTCTTCATTTGTTATTGTAATAATCATTCACGATCGTTTTTAAAAGATCATTGCTGAGGACGTTACCCATGATGGATTAAGTTTCATCATCATCATTGAGCAAATCGTCCATTTCGAATTCCTCTAGAAATTCGTCAGCAATTCTTCTGTTATATTAAAGACCTAAAAACTGTGAGAATGACGTCATCGTTCCCGGGACCACTCGCCTGGCTTTTCAGATCAGTTTGGATTCCAGGGATGATAACATAGAACTCGTGACGAACATCAGCCAAGTGATCATGAAGAAAACGATGATTAAAATCAGCCGGAATGAGGTCCTGAGCATCGACGACAGCAATGTGTTTTTCAGTTACATGGACCTCTTGAGAACCACGAGCAAACGGAAAAACATGAAATATCAAGGCATTTGACCAGCAACAGCTTGTGCAGTTGGGGTATGCTTTCATGCAAGCCGAGCCCACCGCTATGCCAAGGGGACATAAGGCTATAGCCAATGTATTCAGGAACCAAGTTTGCATTCCAACGACTCGAAGGACACACGCCGTTTTACCAAGTCGCGCTGGGTGATAGGCTGGAATACGAACTCACGTTTAATGAATATAGTAAAATCATTTATATATCGGACTGCGAGTTGGGCAGCTGTACCATCGACAATATTTCGTTAGAATTCGACATGGTCACGAATCCAACAATTGGCCAGACAAATTCGCAACCAGTATTTGGGAACGTTAGCCATCTTGTACGATCGCGTGTTACGTCATCGGAAGATCGTCAGTGATAAAAGCGATTTGCTGTTAAATATCAATCTGAACGTGCCCGATCGATCGATGATCAAGCGCCCACCAGAAATCAACGCAGACATTAAGGATCTCTGACTCACCGACTTGGTGCTTGGGGATTATCTGACGACCAAAAACATGCTGTGTCTGGAATGCGATCCACGGATGACGATCAGCTTCATGGTAGTGGGTGTCGCATCGAAAACGGGAGCGATGGGATCACGATCCAAATCACCAAGAAGGCTCAAGCCACTGATAAATTAAACCCATATTTGTACGTGATTATGCATGAGCAACTCAAAGTACAAGACGGAAGATTCATGCAAGCCTTCTATTGAGCTCCCCTTGGAGCCGCATTGTGCCATCTTGTGTGGTCAGACGAGTTGTGGAAAGACCGCTTTCATGCTGAATATGTCGGAAGGGTATTATCGAGATGTTTCGATCATACACTAAGCGCCAAAAGAAACATTACCATCCTTCCATTATGTATTACTTCAAAACTATTAAATATATCTGAGAAGGTATTAGTTCAGAAGAAAGCTTAACAACACTGCTTTATGCAAATCACGAAAAACAATTCTCTAATGCATTCATATTTAGGTGAAATGCTTCTTTTTCAGGAGAGTTAAACTGTCCTATTTTGTCGATGCCGAAATTAACTAACAACAGTGATTTAGATGACCAAAAGAAAGGTTGAAATAAAATTCTGCTTTGAGACGAAGATAAACCATTTAAAGTCACTATTTGTGGAATGTTTTGATACTGGAGCTGGGTGATGTTTGCTTGTGGATGTATGCAAGGAGAAAAGTGAAATTATGTAGGGTTTTGGTGTTTGTTAGTTTAGGTGTTTTTCGTGCTGAGGTTTGTTTTGTTTTGTAAGATACAAGTGGTGTGTCAGATGTTTCGTGCTTTGTGGTGTTTGAGGCAACATGTTTTTGTATTTGCTTGGGGCTCGTGGTTGTTGGTTAAGGGCCGTAGTGGGTTTTGTAACCCGCAAGGATTTGTGAGATACTTTATGGGGTGTTTTGCAGTGTAGTTGTGTTCTTATTTTGGCTAAGTGTGGGTTGTTTGTTTTGTGTGTTTGTGTTTAGGTAAGCGTATTGGAGGTGGTGGAGAATTCTTTGGCCAGAGATCTCCTGGATGATGGTGGTTTGGGTTCAGTGCATGTGGGTGAATTATCGGAGGGAATGTCACATACCGATTTTGTCGTGTGGACATGTGATGTTTGTTTTTGGGGTTTTGCGTGTACAATGTTATTTGGTTGGAGTTGGATGTATGGTGTTTTGCTTGTGTGCGGTGCCTGTTTTTACGTTTGGATATTAGCTGTTTCAGTGTTTATGTGCCTATTTGCTGGCTGTGTTGGTGTGTCTGTGTGGACAGTTGTTTGCAAGAGAGGCATGGGGTGTTACATTGCAGAGTATGCACCAGGGAGCACAATGGTTCAGTTTGGTTGTGCGCATTTGTTTGCATTTACTTACAGGTGATTTACAGTAGGTGGCTGTATGGTGACATTTTAGATATTTAGAACACTGTGTCACAGTTTTGATATAAGATTTTACTTCTAGTTTATTGGAAGCCCTAACAGTGATGGTATCTGGATGATTGATGTGTTTTGGAGTTTTGTTAAACATTATGATTACTGTGGATGTTGTTGGGTGGGACTTTCCTTTACGTGTTGAGGTAATGCGTTTGTTACTAACGATTTGAGAATACATAACATGACATGTGTTGATATCAAGAGTAGTTGATCCGCGGCCTGGATGCGGTCACCACCTTCACCTTATATCTCGGTGCAGCGAGACTGTTGTAAGTCAGATTCTGAAATTCCTATTTGTAAAGGAATTCCATGTGCAAGTGACTAATTTTATGACACGGACATACCAAAGCGGCAGTTTTAACTTTTTTTTCACTTTGGTATGGAAGGTATATTTCGTAAGGGAGGTAACTTTAGATAGTTCTTGATCTTATGTTCTGGAGACATCCGTGTCGTGTGATTATTTCAGAAACTTCTTCTTAAATATGTACTACTGTACGCTCGGTATTCTCATCACTTTCTTTATATATATATACCAGGCATGAAATATATATATATATATATTAAATAGGGGTCCAGATATTTCTTCTTGTCAAATTTCCTTTATATCTGCGTTCAACGGCTCTTCAGGTGTACAATGAAAGCTGAGTGTCGTCATAGGCGACACATAACGGTAATAGCTATGTCGTCATCATGCGTATGACGTTAGGCAGTTAGTGACAAGTAGCACCTACATACGCTACTCTGGTGATGGGATATATAGAAGAATTATTATATTCCAAAGTAGCAAAATCGATGGATGAATATACAGCAAAACATGTTCGTGAAACACGGAGAAGATATCTGGACGACTGTTTTCTTATTTGGATTTCAACTGTGGAAGAATTAAATTATTTTTGGAATATTCTTGATTCGATCCATCCTTTGATTTCATTCACCATGGAGTTCGACCATAATGAGATCTCATTTTTGGACGTAAAAATTATAAAGCAAGGAGACCAACTGAAAACGGATATTTACTACAAGCCGACGGACACCCATCAATACCTGCAATTCACTTCGTGTCACCCACGGCACACTAAAGTAAATATACCATATGCAATGGCAAGAAGAGTGTGTACTTATGTTTCGGATGTGGACACAAGAAGTGCAAGATTAGAAGTATTGAAGACGTATCTTCAGCTACAAGGATATCCACGTGGAGTAGTTGAAAGTGCCGTTCATAAAGCAGAAAAAGTTCCAAGAGAGACACTTATGAAAACAAAAGAAACAAATACAGAGGTGGACATTCTTCCATTTGTTTGTACCTACAATCCTAATAACTGTATAATTATGCCCATTATAAAAGCAAATCTTCCAATTTTGTATAAAAGTGAAACTATGAAAAAAAGGTTTATCCAACACTAAATTTATACGAAGCACTAGGCAGCCTAAAAATCTAAAACAAATCCTTTGTCCATCTAAATATTCAAAGGATACAAACGCTGTCAGTGTAACAAAATGTCACACACCTCGATGTGGAACTTGTTCAATCATAACTGAAGACTGTAAATTTACATTTTGTGGAGACAAACTATTTACTATCAAAACTAACATGAACTGTCGCAGCAAAAATGTTATATATGTTTTAATATGTGCGGGATGTGGTGAGCATTATATTGAAGAAACTGGAATGCAACTAAAGGACCGAGTCACTGTACACAGACAATAAATTCGAGAACCTAATTTGCGATGTATAAATGTAAGCAAACACATTGATGAATGCGGGAATGGCCAGTTTACTATCTTTCCGTTTTATCAATTGTTTAACAATGATAAACAATTACGGATGGAAAAAGAACAAATGTTCATAAGGCTGTTTAAACATAAGCTTAATACAAAAGTATATTTTTGTAACTTTCTCAATGTAACTCAGTATGTATTTGTGCACTGAAACCATAATGCATACACGTCCACCACTATTGTTTCTAACTATGACGTCAAAAACACGATGACGTCACAAACGTAACCTTACTGTCACCCATGACTACGTTTTACGTCTCCCGCTATTGTCACTAACTGCTTAACGTCATACGCATGATGACGACATAGCTATTACCGTTATGTGTCGCCTATGACGACACTCAGCTTTCATTGTACACCTGAAGAGCCGTTGAACGGCGAAAGATCTTGTGCAGATATAAAGGAGATTTGACAAGAAGAAATATCTGGACTCATATTTTATATATTTATTGCTTATACACCTGCAGAAATCACTTGTTTATATATATGGCATCATGGAAACCTGTGAGAGTGGCGCAAGTGTTCGGACTAACGTCAGTGTAGTATCAGCATCGGATATCAGCATACAAGATGATAGACTTCAGAGAGATGGAGGGAAAGAAATTCACTGTTTAACACCAGTTTCGGAGGTGTAGCTATTGAATACACAGAATGAGCTGTATTGCAGCCAAAAAACTTGGCTCATTTTGAATTATTTTCTTCAAACATAATTTATGTCTAATTAAGGTAGTACACAGAGTGAATTTGTTTGCACTTTGCTATCATTATACTACACCGATCTACCAAACATAGGAACATAACATTCATATGTTGCCTTAAACTATATATATGTTTGTAAGTGTATGTCCTAAATACACTGAACCTTTTAAATAGATTGTCAAATGCCACCAGATACCTTTATAGGATATCCAGGTTTTTACCTCATATGTAGTGAAATTACTCCCATACAATTGCAAGTCGTTAGATATAGAAACTAATCCAAAGCAAAGTAGGAGTCACTTTCCAGTTAACCTCGATGTATGTGCTTCTAGTATTTTGGTGGTTTTTTTCAGAATGTGATTATACTTCCTACTCATGTGACGCTTGCTCAAAAGTTTGGGATTTTTTCAAAAACAAAGTTACAGTATTTGTTGCCATAATAAAGCATTCATGAAATGGTAGACACCAGGAATAAGTTCCAAAGTTGAAGCATCAATGCACTTCCAAAATATTCAATATCCGAAGTTTCCGAATGAACATTTGACATGCATTTATATTTGTTAGTGACAGGTACCACCATGGGCCAATATACACTAATGTTTTCGCAAAAGTTGCATCACTTTTTGTTGGGTATTCATAAAGAAATGCTCATGCTATATTCGGACAGATACTATGGACTCTTACATAGTAGACATGTCTTACGTTAACGTTCTGGAAAGTGTCTTGTCAGTTTTATTCGTCGCTTTGAACAGTCCTCCAGTTATATACTCTCCCTAAAATATTGACGCATTCGAAGAAACGGATAATTGAAGAAAAAACAAAAACATATTGAGATAATAGAACGACTAGGTGTATGACATGACATTCAAAAGAACATACTGGATGTGTACTGTAAGGATACAAACAACAAAGAATGACGTCAAGACGTGT